GAGTACACATTCGAGTAAAATCATTGTGTGCCTACATCAAAGTAAATATTATAACGTGTATACTACAAACAAGCACAGTTTGCATTAAACAACGTAGTTTCCATTAACAAATATTTTGACACTTGGTTTGAGTCGCTTTTGATGTACAAAATATGATTACATAAATTCAGGACTATAGACGAGATGAGATTGTATTAGGTAAGGTAAACATTTTATGGCAAGTTTGCTACGTTTTTCTTGTGCGATTCAATTACTTGAATATTTTTTTTCCAAATCACAAATTCATATTTTCCATACCGAAGAAAACCTAAATTAAGAGTATGCAAAATACTACTTTATTAAATTCTAGATATTTCAAATATTTATGTATTAAAAATGTTTACTTAAAATAAAATGTACTTGTTTGGATTACATTTGCTTTAAAAGTTATATTATCTGGAAAACCATGATCAGAACTCTGATATTTAAAAATTTTAAGATTCTATTGGAGCCAAAAACTGTAAGAAAACCAAAATACTCGACCAGTACCGCCAATCCCATAAAATTAGTAACCACTTTCCAAAAAGATCTTCGAGTTGATGGAAAACAACCGAACGGTACTCTCCGATCACTTGACATCTGAAGTTTGCAAGTCCATTTATCGAAAATCCTCTCAAGAATTTCGTTTCTTCGACGTCGACTCGATGGAATAACAACGGGAACTATTTGAGGGAAAAAACGTGGTCGATCGCAAATTATTTTTATTAAATCTTTGATCGGTCTGAATAAAAGATGAACCTAGCCGACGAGGGATTAAGGAAGTAGCGGAAGGGAGAAAAAACAGAAAAGAGCAAAAAGAAGGATCGCCTCGGGTAAAAAGGTCCGGGGGAAGAATGTCGATATTAATAAAAGTTAAATTGAGCCAATCGCTCGTAGGAGTTACACAGCGATGGAACAAGAAAGAACGCAATAAAAATTGCAACAGAGCACCAGCTCTTTCACCGCGAATCGATGGAATTGATCACGGAACGTTTCGAAGATATTGCTCCGCCATTTCATGAAGCTAGATTTATTTTATCGAGATACCAAAAGTTCCTCTAGAGTTATCACTGCAGTTCCCTGTCACGAATTAATGGCTCCGCATGCATTTTTCAGACATCTTTTTGTAAATATTCATGATAATGATCAATATATAATTATTCGTTAATTAAATACACTTTGTATGCATTACGCAAAGGTTTCAACCGACAAATTCGACAAGAATGCATAGTTCAATTAGAATTACATAAATGGAAAAAAATATACATCTATTTCTCGATTTGCACAAATGAACGATTCATTAGAATTCCGTGTAACTGAAGAAAAGATTAAATAATGTTATGTTTTATGTTTGGCATAACGAGAACTTTAAGGATCAACGAGTAACTTTAATGTATAACAGGGTTTGTACAATACAAATGTCAACAAAGGTAATTAAATGTGTTCTTAGTTTCAGAATTTAGTCAGATATTTAATTAAATTCAATCATTTCAATGTATGATCAGAGGAAAATAGGGCTATATTTATAATCACAATTTCAATTTTGGTTTCCAAAGATATATCTTTTGCTTAGATTTTGTAGTTCGCTTTCGACACGGTAAAACATGTGTAACTTTTAACAAATCACAAAAAACTTGCCAGAGTACAAAATTATAGAAATCTGTCAATCTTTAATTGAAAGGAACCTGCACGATATTCGCATAACGTACTCCACAGGAATAAGAAGTGACGACGTATTAGTTTAAAAGATGAAAACAGTACTTAATAGACTAAGGATCTTTCTGCAAAATAAAGTATCAACAAAAATATCTATCTAAATCTAAATCTAAATAGGTATTCTTTTCTCTGTAAATATTATAATATGAACTTTACTTTTAATATTTCCTTATATTATTACATACTGTGTTACTATTTGTGTGCACTTTGTAGTAATCAAATATTCATTATGTTTCTGAAACATATGTAAACTTTTACAAACAATTTAATTTCATGAAGATTACCATACTACCAATTTAATGCACCATTCGACGTCGTAACTGTAAACGTTAATGAAGCCGTAAGACAATCGTGGAAGAGTTCGCGCCAATTGTTTCGCGTGATTAAAATCGTTCGCTCGAGTGATATCGATACTCGTACTGTGTCGAACGACGCTCATCATCGGTAATGAATGACACTCCGATTCATGAATCAGGATAACTGTCAAATAATCATCGGAGAAATGACGGGATTAAAAATGTCTGTAGAAATGATCGTTAAGCTTGTCGAGTAATAACACTATTACGGATTATTAACCCTTTGAACTCCAGAAGCGACTCGCAGTGGTCGTTCGATTTTACGAGGCAACTCGAGTGGCGATTGGGAAGTCAATTTTTATATTAAATTTCGTTAAACCTCAATTAATTCCTAGGAATAGTTTTCCGAGCTTTTTACGTATTCTTTTAAGAAGTTTATAGTTGTATACCTTGAAGAAGCAGCACGAGTTATTTTCTCAAATTCCAATTAGTAGGGATTCAACATTTGTAATAGAAAGTCATTTTTAAATTCTTTTTTTATTTCGAAAATCTCAAAGCTCTATAAAAATGGATTATTATATGTAAAATCACTTTAAATGAAAATCAATTTAACTCTACACTGTTATAAGATGAGCTTATTTGCTTGAAAAATACAGCATTGAATGTAGAAGCCAAAATTAGAATTTATCTTTCAAAATAGGAAGGTAAAGAAAATATTAACCTCTCTATATTTTCTTTTATATCAAAATTACCATTACTCACAATCGCAATACCTTTTAGAAGTAAAATATATACCATATTAAAGTGATTCAGTATATTTGTATGTTAAAGTCGATTTACAGATTACAATTACTTTGGTTCGTGTGTATTCAACTAATCCATTCACTGCCAGGAAAATTTAAAGCATTTTGCCTTGGGCGGCAAGAGTTAAGACAGATGTGTAATCTAGATTATTATTTTGATAATAAAAAATGATATTAAATTTGTTATTTTAAAAAGAATATTTACGATCTTTTCTTCTCTTACGAGCTTTTTCTTATTAGTGAATGGGTTGAAGCAAACAAACAAAAATCCTTTTAAAATTCATCCCTTGGGACGTTAAAATGTAATATTTTTTCTTATATATTAATTCACTAATAAAATCGTTTTGTATTACCTCGCAAGAAGTAAATATCTCCGCTAAATATCCGCTAAACGATCTGAAGTAGTTAGTTAGCTCCAGTGAAAATGTCGTCGAGCTGAAAGGGTTAATACGCGATGGGAAAACACGGGAGCTAGTAGGAAATGCGCGTTCCATCGATTTTTAAATGAGGTCCCGCGCACGGGTTGTTAAAACAGGGACACTCTAATGGTCGTTTTAAAACGAGTGGCATTTTTTACGCTCGCCCCTAAATCTGCCCACCGGATACCTGTTGCTCGTCCCTGGAAAAAAGTGTCGGCTCGTTGTCTGAGCGCTCGTTCCCTCTATCTCCCACGCGGTCAGACTCGATAATCACCTGTTATTAACCTTCGCACTTCCAATTCTTTTTTATTACATGGAGCTTAAATGGCTGGAAATACTCCACACCCACGCAATAAAAACCTGTAATGGCTAACAACAGCTTTTCAAAAGCTTTACATTTTCGAATATATCGAAAATATAATTTTTCCACTGAAATATTCATGTCGTATAAAGATCATACAAATCAATTTTTATGAAATTTAGACATTTGAGATCACTTACGAATCAATTTCCATGAAATTTAGATATTTGAGATCACTTGAATGTTTTGAGGCCTCTTTCGAACCTTTACGCAAAAAATTACGATTTTCACTTTCACAAAAACGCACGTCTTTCTACATTCAAACGTTATTTTCTCCGTAAAATATCACTGTAAAAATTTGTTTGACTATACTATTGAAAAGCTGAGACTTCGAGGAAATTTTTCACGAGGAGTGCCAGCCAAACAACTATGTATTTGAAATCGGAAAACAGATAGAGGAAATTGTTACAATTTAAAGTTTGACCTAATTTTTCACTTGTTAAATCTACGTAATAAATTTTGTTTCGGCATCAGGGAGATTGAAAATTTAACGCTCTTTCGAATGGTATATATGGTTTTAATTTTGTACTGTAAGTTGATGAAGATATGGCCGTTTAAAGAATGTAAAGTCGAAAACACAGAAAAAACTTACAGGTCCTCAATCATAGATCGAACGACAGTAGTTGGAAACCGACTTACTAGAATACAGGAAAGGCAAAACTAATTTATTATTAATGCAAAACTAATCGTATGACTCAACGACCAATGTAATCAAACGCAAAATGTATCCATACTCGCTCACTTCCGTTTGATTACATTTAAAAGTGAAAAACGAAACCAGAATGGTTTTTAACCATGAAAAAATCAAAAGTGAAAATACTCCTAAATAAGGGCTATTTAGAAAAACTTCTAAGAGCAACTTTTTATTGGAAATTAATTGCAAAATTGATTTCCTAAATTTGTCCGGACTTAAGTGTAGACACTCTGTATATATATGTATGTTAGTATCCGCGCTTCCTATATCCAAGAATGAGGAGTCATGAAACGTGGAGTACTGGAAATATTGGTGTTATAGGAAAAGTGGGTCGACTGTGGATCCCGAGGATCGTGGATTCTCTCGAGATTCTCCGTGTCTTACATATATAAGTTGTTAAGATTTTCCATTTAATAATTAACGTTTATTCAACAATAAATACAAAGTAAACAACTAGAGAATATAACTCTGAATATAATTCGTTATGTCTGCACTCTATGGTGTCTCACAAACGAATCTCGTTGACAGACGATCGATGGGATCGCTTTCTTGTCGCTTCTGCTGTTCCTGTGGCGAGCACCAGTAGGCACTAAATTCTATCCAAGGGGTGCTCGCAACAATATAGATATATTCTTGTTTCAACAATGTAATACCTAAAATGTTAATATTGTAAATGCACTTTTCTGATTGCAGGCGAACGACCGTACAAGTGCCATCTACCGGACTGCGGGCGGGCGTTCATTCAGCTATCGAATTTGCAGCAGCACCTTCGGAATCACGACGCCCAGGTGGAACGGGCGAAGAATCGGCCGTTCCATTGCAACATCTGCGGCAAAGGCTTCGCCACAGAATCCAGCCTTCGTACCCACACGTCGAAGGTCAGTCATGTATGTACCAAATCCGACGTCCAACAACACCAACAACAACGACAACAGGCATTTTGGCTACTTAACGCGGTGCTCGCACACGATAATAATCGAACCACGGTCGGAATGATCCGGAGAATCGAGTCTCTAGAGTCGATCAAACGGTTGTACACGTGCGATATAACTCGTACAATACATATATCTGCATATGTATCTATACATTATCATGCCGTAACTCGCAAATCTCCGCTAAACGCTCTTCTTACCGGATGAACAAAGACGCCTAATAGATACACGTATTTTCCTTTCGCGACACGGAACAAACGCGTCTCTCTGAATGCACACATGGTGGCGGGTCATGCTTCTGTCCTCACGATCTATATAGATTCTCATTCCTCTCTACAATTAGGTTCCATTTTACCCTTATCTTCGAAATCGTTCGTAGACCTTCGCTAAACGACGATGACCGTCGATACCGATCGACGGCGGGAGTAGGAACTCGATGCACGGCGTTGATTCCGTTAAAAACACTCGCTTTCTTTCGATGAAACTAATTAATCCGTGCAGAGAGTTCGCTCCCAGTTCGCAGGTGCCACGCAACTCTACATACGCGAAACAGTCCCCTGCAGTGTGTCGTAACAATATCCAGGGAGATCCGTAACGGTAGCTTAGATCGTTCAGCTGGGTTCTTCGTAACGCTTGGGACTGCTTTGGTTGTGGTTTCTCACGGACAAGCCGCTTCGAATTTTGAAAGTACACTCGCGCCTCTTTTCGATCGCCGATCGTCTCGTTGTCGCGAACAACGACCGTTCAACGCGTCCTCTCGAGCTCGCTGAAAATCGTCGAGGGACGACGTAGGACAGATCCAGACAAGAGACAGCAACGAAGTCGCAACACCACGACTCGAAGAATATCCGTCAACGATCTTCAAACAGAGCCACGGTCTTGCAACGCGACGTGTACTTACGTGGAATACGGAATACGCCGGGGGAGAGGTTGGGTCCGTTACGAATCCGTGCGTCGCGTCGGCGAAAAAAATTGGTCGATCTGGAAAAAAAGATCGCTTAAGTTCCCGAGAGGTTTAATCGAATTCACCCCTGGCGGTGAATCGCGGCGCGCAGCGATTACCAGAGGAATCTTGTACGGTGGGGTGGTTTTTTGCCCAGGGCTCGGCCGGCCAACTGAATTTCTCAACCCTTTCGCCGCGCCGGGCACATGTCTTGACGAAAAAACGTGGGAAGGCATCTGTCGAGCCGTACGTGAGTCGGTCTTTTCTCTTGTTTCTCCTCGCTGTCTTCTCGCTTCGCGCTTCTTTTGCTCGCGCTGAAAAACCTCATCGGGTTCTTTTTATCCCCGGCCAATTAGACCAGGCATGTTGCGTAACCAGTCGTAAACTAACATTTCCCTCCGCTCCCCGATAGGCGGATGGAAAGAGGAAGCGGCGAAACCCGAACGGATCGTCCATTAGCGCCGCGATAAACGCATAAAATCGAACCACGAACCGATAGAAACGCCTCATTGCCTCGATCACAGATTAACCCTTTCACTGCGAAGGGCGTATATACAACACGCCCTCGAGAAATCGAGTCAGAGAATTGTTTGTATTCGTTAAATCAATGTTTTTTAAATATCAGCTTATACGGGATAATGAGACGAAACTTTTTGATATTTACAATTTATCCATAGGATTCTTAGTTTCGGAAATAAAAATTAGAAAAGTTACAAGTTTACTGCAAGAATTGAATTTCAGAAAAAAGGTATTTCAAGTTTTCAAATTTTATCTCTGAAATTAAATATTCTATGAATAAACAGTAAATATAAAGAAGTGTCGTTTTATCATTCTCTATAGAATGACATTTTTTTTAAATTCGACTGTTCGACTGTTGCTTTTTTTTTAACAACAACAGGATCAGACCATTACGAGATCTCAGAAAAAAGGTCTTTTAAGTTTTTAATTTTGATCTTCGAAATTAAACGTCGCATGAATAAATTGTAAATATAAAAAGATTCCGCCTTATCGTGCTCTATAAGCTGATAGTTTTTTTTAAATTCACATCTCTACGGCTGATAGAATTTCTAGCAAAAATCGTCCCGCGGTCAAAGGGTTAACATGGAAAGACTTTGTTACGAATCAACGAAATACCCCTACTGCTTTAACATGGATTTGCTGCATATTGGGCAAGTCGAGTGGTTGTCTTCGATTCACGTTGCGTTAAATCTATAAGGGGTGAAGAGTCTACAAGTATCGTCGAACGAAAATACAAATTATTGATATAGTATTCCAAATCTTTTGGTCTAGAATTTTTTTATAACTTCTACTGTTATTTTTTTCTAGAAAGTATTATATAATTCTCGTTACTATAATTAAAATATTCGAGACACACTTGTTCTATAAATGCATAAAATTCCATAGTCTAGTTACACAAAATCAAATGTTTCAAACTAATTTATTTATTAGATTATTAATGGTTAGTAATTATTATATAATAAAAATGAAGATTTTTTTTATAGAAATGCTTATAATCTTGTTCGGTTTGGAAAGCTAATTTTTGACACTACAATTCTGCCTAATTAACCAAATATTTGTTTATGTTTCTGCCATTTTGAATAGTGTAAATATAAATCAATATTAAACAAAGAATGTTTACTCACAGTTGTTCAGAGTTTACCTCATCTTTCTACAAACTTAAAAAACATTGTCAACGAAAATTCTTTCACTTAACCATCAGTCGATTCAGTGTTAATTTGAGAATATATTAACAGTATTTCAACGAGTGGAAATGATCAAATGTCATTGTGTGCGGTATAAAGCTCAGATTCAATACAAAATTTTGTACCTAAGCCATGATTGTAAATATCTACATGAAATATTGAAATAGCCCTATTTTTTATACGAGAATTCAAACTAACATGCTTGGCATATTAGTACACGAACAGTATCTCGCGAAACTCGAGTAAAAATAAAATAAGAAGTCCCTGCAATCAAAACGTATACATATATCATAGTGCTTAGCATCATTTTACACGACTGATAGAAATTTTTCCATGTTAACAGATTACGACAAATTCACACGAATCGTCAAAGTAAAAATATACGCAAGATGAGTCCCAATAGATAGAATCTCTAAATATCTGTATTAAGATCATAGACAACAGAAAACGTAAGAAAAATAAATTGTTCGAGGGAAGAAAATATGGTGACTCTAACAGGAATCGATGACAACCACGACTATCTCCGAATATGCAAAATTGGTTGCACATGAGCAAGCAAAGGGTTATTTTGTCGATTTTAAACAACGTCCTTTGATTTGATCGATCGACAATATGGGTTTCTAGGAAACTACGAGTTCAATCGAAAAAATTCTCGGTGTCGAATAGCAATTTTATCCATTGGATTTGAGTTCGAGAAGAAAATAGCTAGAAGTAAGTTAACGATACCGATTATGTGATTCGAAGGCGGGCATAAGCTTACCACGGGGTTCCCTTTATGGTTTGTTCCACGAAACGGCGCATCAGGTGCGCCCTGAGAGCCACGCGACCGTAATCTAGCGCACACGTCGCTCCCCGAGCGATAAATATCGTTCTTTCGGCGCTCCGCTGATCGCGAATCCTTTTAATTGAAAGCTAATCCACGGCTAAAGCGTACCAGTCTCCCCTCGAGCATTCCCGTGCGATCTCGATAAATCTCAAGGCGAATCCCAGTTGCGTTTCCACGTACGGGAACAAAAACGGTGAAAATTCACCTTTGTCGCGAAATTAGCAGCGTTTAATGAAATAACGAAGATGGCGTTCGAGGCGGTATCGTCGCGAGAAGGCTGGTTCGAGTTAAAAGTAACGTCGAGCACGTCTTTGCTGCGCGATCGAGTCGTGGATAAAAAAAAGAAGCTAAAGAAGACCGTGGAAGAAGAGGAGGAAGAAACAAGAAGGACGAACGCGAAAACACGGGCGTTTCGAGAGAGGATTCTCGCGACGGAAGAGCGCCGCGGAGAAGTAATTAAAAGCCGCCAGCGGGACAGAAACAGAGTCCGTCCGCCCGGTGAAAATAAAATAAAACGAAACGAAACAAATGGAGGGAGGAGGTAGAGAGAGAAACGAAAGAGAGAGAGAAAGCTCGAGCCCATCTTGCGCGGCTAATCGAATTTTCGCCGGGGCAGATTTCTTGAAATTGTTTTCGCTATTCCAGGGCTATCTGCTATCGCCGTCCCTCGCTCTGTCGGCCTGATAGCTAATGGATCGTTGTTTAAAAAGAAATAAAGAACGGAATAACGGAGCAACACACCGGGCGAGCGAGAGAAAGGGGAAATTGAAAGAGTTATACGGTGGGTCGAGGCCTGGCGTGTCGGCGAAACATTATCCCAGCCCGGGAAAGACAATACACTTCGAGTACAGTATTATAATAGGCCGGAGCGTAAATGTATTATAGAGAACGATCGGTAGCCAGCCATAGAAACTTTGCGTTTCCTCCCCGTACACGCTTCCCTCGTGCGTCTTACGAACTGTTACCCCCCCTTTGCTTTGTTCCGCACCGGCTGACGTTTCTTCGAATTCTCCGTGAGCTTTGCGTTCAACGCTTTCGCGCTGAACGGTCGAGCGTTCGATAGACAAGAGGATGGACGTTCGATCGGGGAGAGAATCGCTCTCGTACACTGAGTCGACGCGTCACCTCTGACGCGCGACAATGCTTGATTCCCGCTAGCTACGAGAAACGATCAACGCAAGATAATTAAGGGGTTAGGCCACTCTAGAGGGTGAAAAAATTTTTCGGAAAAGCTACAAAACAAATCGAGATTACAAAAAAGGGTGTTTACCATAGATATCAGTAACTGTATACAATAAATTTTTTGAAGCGATTAATTTCAACATGGCGGCTGTGCAGCGTTTTTTGCGATGACGTCTCCGTTTTTCCAGGCTCCACGCCCGGACATACGGCTCTTGTAATTTTTGAATTATGATGAGCCAATGAATTTTTTTCGATTATACATGTATATAACAGCAGCTGTAGAAGTACGTAGAATTTATTC